AACCGACAGCTCCTCCCGGGATGACTCGAAACAGCCGATCCCGCCCCAGTGCTTTTTGGCAGTCATAGGTACCCGATCGAGCTGAGATTCAGACGGCGAGCGGGAATAAGATCGAATATCACGGCAAAAAGTATTAGAGCTCTAACGAATGGTTGAATTTCGAGACCATTAATTTCAACCGACAAAAGTCACCAAAAGGTCCGTCGATATTTGTCTTGCCAACTAGCTCTCCAGCGCCCCGCAACTGGGAGCGGCGGTAAACCGTCAACCAGGTTACCGCCGGGAGCCTCGTAGAGCTCTATTCTCGCGCGGCGCTGCTCGAATCACGTGGGGAAGCTTTCTAGAGCAGAAGCTGGACAACTCGAAAAAATGAGTTTTTTTTTGGTATTTATTCAAAGCCGGTTCCTTCAAGTGTTTTGATAGTAATACTGGGCGCCGGCGGTGAACCGTCAACCTTTCTTTCCGCCGGGAGACTCGTAGAGCTTCCTTGTCATATATTATGTCCAAAGAATTAGCAGACTGATAGCAGACTGAGCGCTGATACAGACTGATCTCAGGCGTCTAGATACATTTCACGATTGCCCCTGATAATTCCCTTCCCATTGCTGTGCTGAACTGTTCTGTAGCTCATCTGCAGCACGAGTAGAATCAAGAAAAACATTACCATTTCCAAGAAAGTAGCAGAGTATGAATCGGTGTTCAGCCCTAGCGCTGATAGCAGACTGAGCGCGGGTGTCTAGATACGTTCAAATAGCGCGCATGATGATTCTCTTCCAATTGCAATGCCCAAGAGCTCTCAAGCTAATCTGCACCTTGAGCTCAGTCCAGAAAGCGAATTCCATCACCAGAAAAATAACTGACTATGGCTAGTTGTTTGGCGTTTGCGCTCATAACAGACCCAAGCAAAATGTCCAGATACTTCAGACAAGCGCGCCTCATGATTTTCTTCTGATCTCTGTGCCAAAGAGCTCTCAAGCTCATCTGCAGCTCGAGTTAAGTGAATAAATTCACCATCATTTCGAAAGATATCGAATACCAATAGTTTTGCGGACCTGGCTCGAGTAGCAGACTGAGTCCAGAGCTCTAGATGCTTCAGCCAAACGCGCCTAATGATTCTGAATCGATGATGTGTGCGTACAAGCTCTGTAGCTATGCTACAGCTCAAGTTAAGTACAGAGCACCGACAGCGTCTGTTAAGAGAACTCGAAGAATACGAATAGTTTCGCGGACCTAGCTCGGATAGCAGACCGAGTTCAGACCTCCGGATGCAACAAACGAACGCGCATGATGATTCTGGATCGGTTTCTGTAAGTGCCAGCTCTGTAGCTCTCCTACAGCCCGAGTTAAGTACAGAAAACCCACAGCACCTGTCAAGATGACTCGAAGAACACAAGTAGTTTCGCGGACCTAGCTCGAGTAGCAGACCGAGTTCAGACCTATGGATGCAGCAGACGAACGCGCATGATGATTCTGAATCGGTTTCTGTGCGTACCAGCTCTGTTGCTCTCCTACAGCCCGAGTTGAGTGCAGCAAACCCACAGCACGTGTCAAGATGACTCGAAGAGTACGAATAGTTCCTTCAAGTGTTTTGATAGTAATACTGCAGCTACGGACCTGAGGATTTCACTGGCGGACGCGACATAACCCACTACAGGTGCGAAAAATACCGGTTCCCAAAACGAACTTTCAAATCTCTGACAATCTCTCAAAAACCGACCCCAGGTCATCACATTGTCCGTCCGGGCCGGGTCGGCCAACTAGCTGCGCCCCGCGCTGGAATTCCTCTAGCTCATCGATGCCGAAGAGCTCTACGAGGTATTAGTGGGCGCCGGCGGTAAACCGCCAACCTTTCTTACCGCCGGGAGACTCGTAGAGCTCCCTTCTTAATTGGGTGTATCGCGAAGGGAATGAGAGGGCGGACGAATCGACTTTGGAAGCACGAAAGGGTAACACGGGACGACGATGCAAACATGACATCATTCAGGGAATCTGTAATAACAACATCAAAATTGATGCTCTCCGTGGTGCTTCCGACGGAGGACGGTCCGAAATGGGAGCTGGCTGTGGTTGGCTACTCGACGTGCATGCTTATTTGATTTCCCCCTCCCTCTCTTCCTCTCCTGCGCAGATTGGCAATGTTCGCGCGCCGATCTGGATCAACAATGTTATGGCGGACGCCTCCCTCCTCACACCCAGCTGCACAGTCGCGCAAGCCGACATCAGAGCTGCCTGTCGCTTACTCTCTGGCCTGCAAGAATTTGTGCGTTTGGCATGCCTCTGCTAGCCTTCTTGAGTACGTGCGTGTGGCATGTCTCTGCCAGCCCACTCTCTGGGCTGAAAGAGTTCGTGCGTTTGGCATGTCTCTGCCAGTTGTGGTAACTCGACCTGCGGCCCTGTCGGCTGCTGCCTGGTGTGACCGCAAACCGGGACAAACTATGGTTGACGGTTTACCGCCGGCTCCCAGTTCCCGGTTAGCTCCTTCAGAACTATAGGGTTTTAGAGACCTCGTTGAGCTCTTCGGCATCGATGGCGTGGGATGCAGCTAGTAACTCGTAGAACTCTTCGGCATCGATTGGCTGCTTTACTAAGAGCGTTAGCGGCGAAGCTAGAGAGTAATTGACTCGTAGAGCTTCCGTTCTGGATAGAGCAGTGTGGTCTCCACTTTCTCCTGTCCTCCTTCCCGCGCCCCGTCCTGCCTCCCTCTTGCCTCCGCCTGTCTTGCCTGCGGGGGGCTGCGATCTGTGAAACTGTCGCCACTCTCGAGGCCTGCTGGGGGGCCCAGTACAGTGACGCCACGGGCAGACCCAAATTAGCCATCGCCATCCGTGGCGGGCTGCGATCTGTGAAACTGTCGCCACTTTCGAAGCCTGCTGGGGGGCCCAGCACAGTAACGCCACGCGCAGACCCAAATTAGATCTAGCCTTCCCTGAGAGGGGCTGCGATCTGTGAAACTGTCGCCACTTTCGAAGCCTGCTGGGGGGCCCAGCGCAGTGGCGCCACGGGCGGACCCAAATTCGACCCCACCATCTCTGGGGGGCTGCGATCTGTGAAACTGTCGCCACTTTTGAGGCCTGCTGGGGGGCCCAGCACAGTGGCGCCACGGGCAGACCCAAATCAGACCTCGCCATCCCTGGGGGGGCTGCGATCTGTGAAACTGTAGCCACATTCGAGGCCTGCTGGGGGCCCAGCACAGTGACGCCACGGGCGGACCCAAAATAGACCTCGCCATCCCTGGGGGGCTGCGATCTGTGAAACTGTCGCCACTTTCGAGGCCTGCTGGGGGGCCCAGCACAGTGACGCCACGGGCGCACCGGAAGTAGACCTCGCCATCCTTGGGGGGCGGGCCCAGAACAGTGACGCCACGGGCGGACCCAAATTAGACCTCGCCATCCTTTGTGGGCTGCGATCTGTGACACTGTCGCCACTTTCGAGGCCTGCTGGGGGGCCCAGCGCAGTGACGCCACGGGCGGACCCAAATTAGACCCCGCCAAACCGTGGCGGGCTGCGATCTGTGAAACTGTCGCCGCCGCCACTTGACTCGTAGAGCTTCCCCAAGAGCGTTAGCGGCGAAGCTAGAAGAGTAATTCCGGGGTGCTTGGGGGCTAATTGGCAGAAAATCTTTACGAAAGTTTTGCATAATTTTGCTCGGTTTAAATTCGGTTTCTCGAATTTCAACAGGTCGTTAGAGCTCTAGTATTTTTCCCCCTCATATTCGATCTTATTCCCGCTCGCCATCTTAATCTCAGGTCGATCGGGTACCTTTTACTGCCAAAAAGCATCCTGGCGGGATCGGCTGTTTGGTGTCATCTTGGCAGGTGCTAGCTCGAGCTCTAGGAGAGCTACAGAGCTGGCAGGCACACCTAAAACATCTAGAATCACCCGGCGCGTTCGTCTCAAGTATCTAGATGTCCTGATTTCGGTCTGCTACCAGAGCTGGGTCTGTGAAACTATCCGTACTCTGCATTTTTCGAAGATGATTATGCACTTCTTGACTTAACTCGAGCTGCAGATGTGCCACAGAGCTGTTCGGCACAGACATCGGAAGAATACCATCAGGCGCGCTAGCCTAAAGTATCTAGAGGTCTGAACTCGGTCTGCTACCAAAACTGGTCCGCGAAACTGTTTGTACTCTGCTAATGTTTTAGATGATGAGGCATTTCTTGACTTAGCTCGAGCTGCAGATGAACTGCCGAACTATTAGGCACAGCAATCGAAACCATCATCAGGCGCGCTAGTCTAAAGTATCGAGAGGTCTGAAGTCGGTCTGCTACGAGAGCTGGGTCCGCGGAACTATTCGTACTCTGCTAATTGTTTAGAATAGCTCGAGCTGCAGATGAGCTACCGAGCTATTTGGCAGAGCAATCGAAAGACCGTCATCGGGCGCGCTAGTCTAAGGTATCTAGATGCCTGAACTCGGACTGCCACGATCCGAAAACTAATTGGGACTCTGTTTTTAGAGATGATGGCTTTCTTGACTGAATTGGAGCTGGAGATGAGCTACAGAGCTGTTTGTCACAGCAGCCGAAGGGGAATAATCAGACGCGCTGGTCCACAGTATCCAGACGCCCCAACTCTGTCTAATACCAGAGCTGGGTTCAAAAAAGCTATTCGTACTCTGCTAAATTTTTAGAGAGATGATGGTAACTTTCTTCAGAAAACTCGAGATGCAGATGAGCTACAGAGCTGTTGGACACAGCAATCGGAAGGAAATCATCAGACGCGCTAGTCTCAAGTATCCAGATGCCCGAACTCGTCGCGCTTCCAGAGTTGGAACCAGAAACTTTATTGGTATTCAATTATCTTTTCAAATATCACGATGCCTTTTTTGATCCTTCCCGTCCTTCTGCTCCTCATGTTCCTCCTCCTTCTCTTGCTCACTCTCCTCCATCCCATCTGTCCTTATTCCATCTTCTTCTCTAGTTCTCCTCCATGAAACCGCACCCTCGCGCGCGCGGAATGCGAGATTGCCGCGCCCGCATTGCGCGAGGAAGCTCTACGAGTTCCCGGCGGTAACCAAGGTTGCGGAAGCGGAGCTTACCTCCCGCTCTCCCGCGGCCTTGGCCCGTCGGGGACTCCTCGAGCCGCATCGTGCGGACAGGTTTGTGCATGCACACGTAACGTACATCTCTGAGTACCGAACGGGTGATCTGTCGGCATTGGATTGATTAGTTGTTCTTGCGTGCCCCTTCTTTGTGCGGAATCATGACAGCGCAATTTTGTTCGATGAGTTCTGTTTCGACCAGTTGGAAAAGAAAAACAAGGAGAATCAAACTGGCGATTTGTAGACAAGCTGTATTTGATGTTATGCAGTTTAATGCTCGTGATCCATATTTTGTGGCTGATCCGTATACTTTCCCCGCGTTTGGCTGGTCTGTTAACCTTGATGATTGTGCGCGAAACCCATGCCCGTTTCAGGGGAACTCGGAGGATCAGGTCAATATATTGTTGAGTTCCTTATCGGTGCCAGCTGCTGGGCCAACTGATCGTGGAGAAGCTTTCTCGTCTCATTCGGTTGCGTATTCTCCAGATGTGGTGCAGTCCCCGGATGGTGGGCTACAGTCGAGACTGGGCTCTGTTTCTTGTGATCCTGGTGTTCAGAATGAGGAGTTGCAGGGCGAGGAGTTGCAGGATGAGGATTTGCAGAGTGAGGAGGTGCTGAATGAGAAGTTGCATTATTCTCAGCATACTGTTTTCTTGGATTCAAGCTCTGAAGTTTGCCACGCTCCATTTCCTGACACTCTGTCGGCTTCTGTTGACCCAGGTGTTCGGACAGAGGAGTTGCATGATGAGGAGTTGCAGGATGTGGGGCTGCAGAATGAGGAGTTGCTGAATGAGCAGTTGCATTATTCTCATCATACATATTATACGGCCTCACGCCCTGAAGTTTGCCACACTTCAGCTTCTGACGGAGACTCAGCTTGCCATGGAAAGGATTGGCAGGGGGATCTGAAGGATTTCAAGGACGAGGAGGAGGATAATGTTCATGTTGAGTCCGTGGAGAGTTCTACGGCTGAAGAAGCGTCGCTTGCTTCTCAATCAAATAATGCTGTGCTGTACTCAGTTCCTTTGGATTATTCTCTGCACTCAGCTCCTTTGGATTATTCTCTGCACTCAGTTCCCTTGGATTATTCTCGAGTGCAAAGGGAAGGTGGAGGCCCCGAGGCGCTGCCGTTGGCATCCTCGAAAACCCGCGGAGAGTGCGAAGCCGACCAGCGTAAAGATAACTGTGCTTATTCTTCCCGGCTCTGTTCAGATGAGTTGCACAGCAATCGATCTGAGTGTCAAGCTGCCAGGGACTGGGCCCGTGCCAATGGCGATGCAGTTGCTCTTTGGCGGGAATTCGAACGGGTCCCCAAAGATGAGTTTCATGCTCGGATCGAGGCGCTCAAGGCATGCAAACTTCGAATGGGAATTGAGAGTCCCGAGGAGGCGCCGAGTCCAGAGGGGGATGCTGGCCGTGGGAAAGGCCAGAGGCACCGCAGAAACAGGAGGCGGGCAAGGGCGAAGGCTCAGGCAGTTCTAACTGGCTCTTCTATGTCAAAGTCGGCCCATCCATCTACTTGCGATCCTCCCCAACCTCCGCCCTCTTTTGCGGACTTGTGCAGTTCTTCAAATCACGTCGAGTGCGCCGGCACGGCTACCACATGGGTGCTCCAGAGGCACATCGCGCGCCTGCTCGTGGCGGACCACCTGCAGAAGGAGGACGCTGATTGGGATGCGGTCTTCCACGCATGGGATAAAATGGCCACCCTGCGAGAGAGGGCAAATTTCTATTTGAAACAGGCTACTCTGCACCGTCTGTGTGAGGCTTACCACCGCGATGGGGAGGAGGACGCGGACATCCAGAGACTCTGGGAGCAGTGTCGGTTGGACAAGATAAGGATGCACCGTATTGCGGGGTGGTGCTTCGGACATTGGCGGTGTTTGACATTCTACTCAAGTGGTGCTCAACGGTTGATGGAACAGCGCTTGCAGAGCCACATTAGGAACCTTTGTGTAACCTTTTGGCCTCCTCATCATAAAGATTCTATGGCTTCACACCCTGGGAGTTCCACGACTGGGAGTTTATCTAATGCAGTTGTGAGTTCAGCAGTGACGGAGGACGAGGAGAAACGTAACCACGCAGATTATTTTCTTCAGTTGGCGTGTAATTTAAGGATCAGGAAATACTGCTTCCGCAAGTCTGGCTGGGTAAAGCTCGTTCACTCTTTCACGGCTGCCACGCTGTATCGCCTTATGGCCTCGGGTGCCGAGGAAAAGGCTGTGTTGCTTGAAGCGCTTCTTCGGGATCGCGCGAGACTTGGCCCGATAGCCAATTTGACCCATCTGTCGACGGATATCAGAGACTTTAGTCACCACAGACTCGTTCCCAAAAGCGTTGCGGAAGCCATGAGATACGTGACGAATTTTCAGGATGAATGGATGCGTCGCAATGCAAAGAACTACCGCGAGTTGGCGGCCAAGGCGGGATACCCAATTGATTGATTGATTTAGTGATTGCCCTTAGGCTGACATGGTTGGCCAGAAGCAGAAATTGTTACGTTGTATTCCATACTTCCCTTATTGAACATGCGAGCAAGACAAAACTAGACGGCCTCCGTGGATGCTTCGACGGAGGTCGCTCTGTGGAGGGATGTGCTGCAGAATGGTGTTTAGGCTTGTGTGTACACGGGGCGTGGCTGTTCGTGGCGGAGGAAGCTTTCTCGCTTGATGCCTCTGCTTCTGTCGTGTTCTGTGTGATGTTTGCAGCGCAACGGCTCTGTATGGCCGTGGTGCACGTTTTGGGTAGCCTCTTTCATCTCTAACCTGTTCCTACACCTTTGCAATTTCACATGTCGTGCTGCATCCTTTTCCTTGTTCCTGCATCCTATTCCGATGCCTATGCCTCAGTGGCTCGGCAGTGTGATGATAAGAGATGCCTTCTCTAGCTACCCTGTGCTCCGTTTGGGAGTCTTAGGGCTCAGCTGTCACAGCTGTCCGCGCCCTGCCTTAAACTCAAAAACCAAGGTTGACGGTTTACCGCCGGCTCCCGGTAATTCGGGGCCTGGGGGCCCAGCGCAGTGACGCCGCGCGCGGGCCCGAAGTGGACCTCGCCATCCTTGGGGGGCTGCGATCTGTGAGACTGTCGCCACTTTCGAGGCCTGCTGGGGGGCCCAGCACAGTGACGCCACGCGCGGACCCAAATTAGACGTCGCCATCCCTCGGGGGCTTCGATCTGAGATCCCCGCTTTCGAAGTGGCTAGGGTTGCTCAGGGATTGTAACTAATCAGCTTTATCTAGTCCATGTCCTTTAGCCAGTGTCCTGCGAGTCTCCCGAATTCTGTCTGCAGACATATGTAACCCTCGCTCCGTCATCGCCACCCTTACAAAGTGTCCTAAACTATTTGCGCCCCGCGTTTGCGTAGGGGTTGGGTACATCGCCAGGGTAATTTTTGCACGCTTTCATATGTAGGAGAGACGGTGTTGGATTTTTGTCCTTAATTCGAGTCGTAGACAAGCTAGGGAGCTGGGAAGCACACCGCTCAATAGGAAATCACCAGACAGAGTCGTTTACAGTGTCGAGACGTCTGAGATGGTGTGCTACCAGAGCTACACCTGAACAACTACTTGCACTCTGCAATATTTTTGTGAGAGATGATGTTTGCGCTCTGAATTCAAGTCGAGCTGTTGGCGAAATGGGGAGCACTGATTCACGCGAATCGACAGGACATGCTGAGAATTGCTAGTTGAAAGCATTTAGACGGCTGAGATCGGTCTGCTAGCAGAGCTGCAACTAAAAAACTATCTGCGCTCTTCGAATTTTTAGATAGGCGGTGTTGGTTTTCTCTACTTAATTCGAGCTGTAGGCAAGCTACAGAACTGGGAAGCAGACTATTCGAATGGGGGAGATCACTAGCGCTAGTCTGCAGTATCGAGACGAGCTCGAGCGGTGGACAAGCAAGGAGCTGTGAAACACATTTATACGAAACCGCCCTCGCGCGCGCGGCATGCGGGGTTGCTGCGCTCGCATGCCAGTCATGTATATCGCGAGGAAGCTCTACGAGTTCCGATGCCTATGCCTCCGTGGCTCGGCAGTGTGATGATAAGAGATGCTCGCACTTGCTACCCTGTGCTCCGTTTGGGAGTCTTAGGGTTCAGCTGACACAGCTGTCCGCGCCCTGACTCAAACTCAAAAAAACCAAGGCTGACGGTTTACCGCCGGATCCCAGCTGGCCCGCCCGGCCCGGGTGGACAACGTGGCAACCTGGGGTTGGTTTTTGGAAGATTTCGAGAGATTTGAACATTCGTTTTGGAAATCCGGATTTCTGTAACGTGGAGTGGGTTGTGCCGCGTCTGTCTGTGAAATCCTCAGGTCCGTAGCTGCAATATTACTGTCAAAAGACGTCGAGGAACCGTCGGCCGTCGGGGCGCATTTTTCTAGATGATCCTGCTTTCGCGCATTTAACTTCAGCAGGGCGCAAACTACACAGCTCCAGTATTTTCTGTACCTATCGTAGGTTATTGCGCGTTGGCTTGTCGAAGTCCCATGCCCGTAGCTGTAGTATTACTATTCCAACACTTGGCGAATAACAGCATTTTGTTATACAAAAGTTTTTAAGATGATATTGAAGTGAGGTTTCTGTTTGTATTATGAGAACTATTTCGCGTGTCGAGAGCTCTACGAGGGTCCTGGCGGTAACCTGGCTGAGCCAGGTTCTGCCACTGCGTTCGACCACTGCAGCCTTCTAAACGCCAAACGTGCTATGTGCCATGCCAATATTCCTGCCTATCTCCAGTATGCTTTGCTATCACCGCTGGTTTGCACTACGGGGTCGTTAGTCGTCGAGGGTATGGCCATTCACGACATCAACTGGGACGTCTGCATACGGACGGGCGGCCTGTGGGGACCTATATTCCGGGATTGGGACAGTAGAGGTGTGGGGTATGTGCTGGAGGGCGTCTGTGGTGAGTATGAGCGACGGACAACTGTGAACCACTTTGTGTGGGCGGACAACTGCTACCTTGTCTCTGCCTCCTCAACTATGTTGGCTCAGATGATGCACGATCTAACACTACCACTACATGACTGGGGGATGAGATGGAAGGATAGCAGCCTGTTGTACATGACATGTGGGGAGAATGCTAAAGTGGACGGTGACGGACATATACTTACCAGCGAGGATTTGTGTATACCTGCGTGCTCGAGATATCAGGGCTTTAGACTTCGACGTGTTGGCAGTATGAAAGTATTGGGTCATGAGATTTTCTCCACATACCTAGTGCCTGCTCATCCTGATGTTGAATATCGCATCAAGGAGGCTCGAGCTTGTTTCATTGGACAATCGAATTTCTTTCGTAACAGAGCGGTTGCTGTTCGTGATAAGTTTTGCCGTTATCAAGACAAGGTGCAGAGTATGGCGTTGTATTGTCTAGAGACATGTACTGCGGATGCTTCCTCGCTACACATGCTCAATGCCTTCGAGGGATGGTGTTTGTGCCGTATGTTTCGACGGCCGAGGAGAGAGGAGGAGACTATGGCGGACTGGAACCGACGACGGTACCACGAGGCCAGAGAGCAATTCCGATCTTATGGATTTGCGAGTTTGGTGCAGAGATTTCTTCGTATGGTGTGGAACTCCGCGAAGGATGCTGCAGATTTCATTTCTATGATGTGTACTGCTTCTCATGAGGAAATATCTTCGACGCAACGTACGTGGAGAGATCACCACATGACTACGGTTGCGTATGGCCCTTTGTGGGACAGACTCAGGACGGATGCGTCTGAGTGCTTGCGGGGTATGTTTCACTTCCAAGAGGCTTCGCAGCTAAAAAGGAGACATGTTAGTTCAGGTCGAGCTGTCGGCCAGAGATGCTGGCTATTTTCTTTCTGCGAATTCTACGGACTCAAATGGTGGGAGTCCTTTGTGCCGACAGATGCTGCGTATGTTCAGTTCTGCGAGCACATGTGTACACGGACGATGCTGAGTTACTTTCAGAAAAGAAAAGGGTACGGTACAACAGGTGGGGCCCCGCAGGAGGTACTTACTATCACACAAAACGACCTACACACCTATGGGGCCCAAGAGGGCACTGCGGCGTTCAACGACAAACTGGCCAAACGTATTGCGTTACAAAATATGAAGGAGGTTGAGTACGACCTCGACTCATTTGGGATCCCTGTGTACATTTCTGGGGACAGTCTTCTGGTGGTGTCTTGGCTGCAGGGTGTCTGGAGGGTGCTTAATCGTACGTATCAAGATAGGATCAACAGAATGATAAACCAACTCGACAACATGTGTCAAAGATATGGAATTAGGCCCGCCTGTCACGGGAGGGAAATTATTGACCACACATATAGGGAATGGAACACACGTGCAGATGTACTCACTCATACGGCCCGCGTCGGGCCACCAGTGATTCGAGATAGGATAGGGCTTCACGCCCCTCAGTTACAACAGGTGTTTCGCGTTTGTGCCATCAGAGCTGGATTCGATGGTGGTGTCTCTTGCGACGGCGTGGGAGTCGGGTGCTGGATAGATGTTGGAAGGGTATCGAGACTCTCAAGGCAGCCACTCAGCCATGAGATCATTTGGACGGAGGTGTACAGTGCGGCGTTCTCGATTGATCCAACTTCAACAGTGACTGATGCCGAGGTCTCGGCCGTTGAGCATACGATTATGATCTTGCCGCGGGTTGTACAAGCGTATTTCGGACAGGATATGATGTGATTTTGATTGTGCTCACTCACGCCATGCCCTCGTTTGTCGTGTGTGTGTGCTTGACCTCTCATCCTCCTAATAAGAGTTGGCTTTCGCCTCTGATCGTTTGGATCGGTGAGGCTTCCGCCTACTCCCGATGCGCCCGCTCCTTGCTTCCGACGAGGCTGGAAAGCCTGCACAGTCGACCGCAAAGTCCGCAAAAAACCTGGCTGACGGTGCACCGCCGGTTCCCATTGGCCCACCCGGCTTCTGCAGACAATGTGTCAACCTGGGGTCGGTTTTTTGAAGATTGTGAAAGATTTGACCGTTCGTTTCGATAACCAGTATTTTTCGCACCTGTAGTGGACTATACTGCGTCTGTCTGTCGAATCCTCAGGTCTGTAGCTGCAGTATTTCTACCGAAAGACTTGGCGGAACCGACCTCGAATAAAACCCCCAGAATACATTTTGCAAGTTTGTAAGCTGGGTTTCGAAGAAGCTTCTTCCTCAGAATCTAGGCTTCTTTGCGTGTTGGGAGCTCTACGAGGGTCCTGGCGGTAGCCTGGTTGACAGTTTACCGCCGGCTCTCAGTTGGCCCGCCCAGCCCGCGCGGACATTGTGGCGACCTGGGGTCGGGTTTCTCGAGATTGTGAGAGATTTGAGCATTCGTTTTGGAAACTTCGATTTTTCTTACGTGGAGTGGGTTGTGCCGCGTCTGCCTGTCAAATCCTCAGGTCCGTGGCTGCAGTATTATTGTGACAAGACGTGGAGGAACCGTCGGCCGTCGGACTGCATTTTTCCAGATGGTCCTGGTTACGGGCACTTAACTGAAGCAGGATGCAAGCGCACACAGCTGCAGTATGTTCTGCACCTGTAGTATCGCGGTGTCAAGAACTCTACGAGGGTTCCGGCGGTAACCTGGTTGATATTTGATAATTGATAATTCATTGCGTGAGGTCTATGCTGACAGTTTCTATTGTGATTCTCGTGTGTTTTCGCGAATCACCTTGCTGTGTGTGCCCCTTCTTGCGTGGCGCCCTCTTGGCAGTCTCGGAGAGATCATTGAGATGAAACATTGAGATGTCTTAGGCTGTTCAACTCAATTCATGCAATTTTGCGCTTGTTGAGACATGGAGACGTTCAACATAGAGTCATTGACAATTCATTAGTTCATCAAGGTAGTTTCAATCATTATGACTTGTTACTTGGTGCTTCAAAGTAGGTCACTCGTAGCTCGGCTCGACAGTGCAGTTGCCTCAAAGCAGGTCGCTTGTATGTGATCTCGCTTGCTTTGTATATACATGTTCCTCAAGAGAGTCGCTTGTACTTGAAGGTCGTTTTCCTGGCTCATTGGAGCCTGCTCGCTGCCCCAGGAGGGCCTGATTAGCGAGACCGCAAACCGCACAAACCTGGTTGACGGTTTACCGCCGGCTCCCAATTTTGTTTTTTTTGGGCCTCGTTAGAGTCAGTTTCTCGAAATCTGACCATTCGTTAGAGATCTGACATTTTCCCCCATCTTCGATCTCATTGTCGCTCGCCATCTTAATCTCAGGTCGATCGGGTGGATATTACTATCAAGAAGCGCTCAGGTGGGATCGGCTGTTCAGTGTCATCTTGGCAGGTGCTGTCGGCTTTCTGAACTTAATTCGAGCTGTAGGTAGGCTGCAGAGCTGTTTGGCGCAGCAATCGAACGGGAATCATCAGGATCGCTCGTCAGAAGCGTTTAGATGCCAGAGATCAGTCTGCTACCACAGCTGGGACATAATAACTATTCATACTATGTTTTTTTTTGAGGTTTTGTTGGTTTTCTCAACTTAACTCGAGCTAGAGATGAGCTACAGAGCTGTTCTGCGCAGCAGTCGAAAGGAAACCATGAGGAGCGCTAGTCTCAAGTATTCAGATGTCTGAGATCGGTCTGCTACCAGAGCTGGAACCCAGCAACTATTTGCGCTCTGCTACTTATTTAAGAGATAATGATAGTTTTCTCTATTGTATTCGAGCTCAGGCTGGCTATGAAGCTGATGGGCAAGACAAATAATCATTGGAGCTCTCGCCAGCGGCGTCGAGGCGTCTCAATTCGGCCTGCAAGCTGCGACTGAACAACTATTCGAACCATAAGTATTTTACGAGAAATGATGTGTGTTTCCTTAATATAATTCGAGGTCTAGGCCAGCTACGGAGCTAAGGTGCGCGCCATTCGACAGGGAATGTGAGATGCATCAGTCTGAGGTATTCATGCGCCTGAGATCGGCCTGCCACCAGAGCTGCGACCACATACTCATTTGCACCCTTCCATTGTTATCAGAGGCGGTGCTGAATTTCCGCACCTAATTCGAGTTACAGACAAGATAGGGAGTTGGGAAGCATTCCGCTCAACAGAGAATTATCATATACAGTCCCTTACAGTATCTAGAAGCGAATGGGAATGATGACGAGCGCTAGTCAAACTCGAGCTGTGGACAAGCAAGAAGCTGTGGAGCAACTTCTCCTC